ACAAAGCCAGAGGTCCTAGGTTCGGAACCTGGCACCGGCGAATTATTTCTAGATTATTTGATTTAGTCAAATAATATAAGCACACCATTAAGGAATTTCGTGCGAAAAATATAAATAATGGCATTTAGTTGGAATTTATATAGAATGTTTATAATCACAATTGAATTATCTATGATTTTTCCTGGAATTTTTTCAGATTTCCTTTTCAAGTTATTAACGATTGAAGTCGCTTCTTATACATAGGCTCTTATGGAGATTTTTCCGTTTAGTACGAACCTGTGTTACTATCTGAGCCGATAATATAGTTTCATGCTAAACAGCAAAATCTCCATAAGAGCCCATCTATAAGCAGCGACTTTAGGAAATCCGAAAAAATTCTAGGAAAATTCATAGCTAATGCAAATGTGATTATAAACATTCTACATAAATTCCACATGAATCTCATTATTTACATTTTTCGTACCAAACACCTTAAGGATTTTTGAAATAAAACGTTAAAATACCGAGAGAAAATAGAATTAAGCATGTTCGAATCATGTACATACGACCCACAGTTTCACGTGCCTCGAGAACCTAACTGACTACAGTTGATTCTCACCATCATATGTGATTGCATTCTGATCATTAACTTGAAATACTGCCATAACATCATAACCTACAAGTTACAGAGGAAATAGTCATGAGCTCTAACGACAAGAAAGAGTCGAGAGAGCGTCGTTAATAACCTAGCTGTTGATGTCACGTTAAACCCCAACGACCAAAACAAACAAACAATAATATTTGTCTACACGATAGATGAGAATATATTCAAGCAAAAAGAGAATACATAAATTTTAAGATTAATAAACGGAGTAATACTCATTTTTGATTTTTTCCCCTATTGGATGGAAATTGGAGAAAAAATAAAAGATTTCGTATTCAAGTCAGGTGATGTATTCTCATGTTTGCAATGTAGTAGGTTGTAACCCGATAGTAGTTCGGTTATATAAATAATAGGAACTCTGAGAGCCAGAACTGTTGTATCATCAAATATAGAGGGATATAGAGTTACTGCACTTCGTTTTTTTTAATCAAATAATTGTCGTTTAACTCTCTTTTTAGGTTTTATTCTAAAGTTCAGTTCATTTTCGATAAATGAGTATATTTCTTTCATCCATCCCGTACTCACGTATTGGAAATATCGGGAAAATACCAAATGTCAGATCTTAAGGATAATCGGGCGAGCCCGGAGGGTTGAAAAAAAGCAGCCATTTTTTTATTTTTTTTTTTACGTATTCTTTAAATGATGGAAAAGGCGTGTGCAAAGTTTCAGACTGCTGAGGAGCATGGTTAATTTATTATGAATTTTTGAAAAAACGGTCATTAAACCCGTGATCTTATGGAAAGCACAAAAAAACTGCAAATCCCAAGGAAAAAATGCAGCCAAAGTCGTGAAACTTTAGACACATTTAGAACATGTGATCAATGATTTTTCAGTAAAAAAGATTGTCGCCTAGGAGCATTGTTTATTAATAATAGCGAAAAAAGTACTGAAAAATGAAATTTCTGCGCACGCAGCCCAAACGAGCAGCAACGTCCCAACCCAAGTAGCAAACCTTGCGAAAGATATCTGAAAGTATACCAAAAGGGCTGACTAATGTCCGTCCAAAAGGTATCTTGCAGTCATACGATAACTTTTAGTCAACTTCTGGGTAACTTCTAGACACAAGTTACCTTTTTGGACAGACATTAGACAACCTTTTTGGTATACTTGCAGATACCCTCCAGAACTGTGCTACTTGGGAAGTACCGATCGGGATGGGGATAGCGCGGTCAATTTAAACGTCTCTTGAGAGAGAGAGTGATGAAGCGTTGTGATTGGAGCTCGCTCGAGCCAATGGTACCAGCTCCTGGTGAAAAAAAAAACTACCGACGATGTTGCCACTTTTTGGCATGGATTAATATTTTCTCATTTATTAAAAAATCAATCTGAAGACCATTCAATGCGTAGAACAGATCCAAATAAATTTGATTAGGCTCCAAAAATAATTTTTAACTGGAGATACTCCCTAATATTGCCTGAATTTTGAATCCGAATGGGAAAAAATTTTTTGTTCAGCGATTGGTTTCCTGCAGGAAAATAATAGAAACCCCTCCGCCTCACCTCCTACATTTCCTCGCCCGATTATCCTTAATGATCGGACGAAAAATCACTCGATAAATTTTACGTAGGGGAGTTAGTACTTTTTGTAATTTGATTTTCCTTACATCCACTGGAAATAAATAGATAATTTTTCAACACTAGAGAGAAGAGAAACCGTGTATTACTTCGTATTAACCTTCACGGAATAAGAAAAATAGCATTGATATTTTGGCAAAGGGGTGAATTGTAGTAGAGAGTGGTTCATAGCAGAAACTAGTTCATGGAACTCCATGGCGGAAGGCTTAAGGCTTTCCGTATTCCTATAGAAAATCATTGAATGGATTTTATAAGTTTTTTTTCGTGGACCCTCCAATGAGAAACGGACGAAGACTATAATCGAGAAAACTCGGACAATTCATCTCCAGTAGAGTCTGGTATATGTAACACAGATAACAACTGACAACTGATCGTGACATAGATAAATGTTCATATAAAAGTGAGCAGAATCGGAGGACAAATTGATGAGCCATCGGCGATCAATAATTCACGTAGGGGAGGGTAGGACAAAACGGACCACTGACAGAGAATTGATAATTTTTTTGTTTTTTTTTCATTCAAATCAGGAACACTGAATGTGTTGACTTAAAAGTAAGTTTCTTGAATCGTAACCGCCATAGGGGTTTTATAGACAATGCGTGTCGTTGAACCGCAATGTAATCAGATTTGCTAATCACCTCAAACCACAAATGACTTCGAATTTGCTCCATTCGGAAGCAAAAACAAAAATTATCAATTTTCTGTCAGTGGTCCGTTTTGCCCTACCCTCCCCTAGGAAATTCAACTGGTTAGAATTCCATTACGAATTGGATTTTTATGTGCTGACTTCTGTCGAGAATAGTTGATAGAAAATCGCAATAGATTTTCATTTCTCCACACAACTTGCTCTGTCAAAATTCTTCCTATAGTTTTTTTTTCTGTTGAAAGAAAGTGGAATTCTGTGGACAGTCTTGAGGTAATTTTCGGAAGAGTGGCATCGAATTCGATTCACAGGAACAATTTTAAATTAGTTTAGAATTCTCGATTATATTCTCATGAATTCTCTTAAGAGACAAATTAATAATTATTGTCAACGAATAATTGACTTGAAATTTTTAGTTTCCAATGATTTTATCATACACGGAGAGAAAAGTTGGATAAAAACTACCCAGAAAATCGTGACAAATTTTACTGTACGTAAGATAATTATGGAGCGTAATGTAATTCAATGAAAAAATACATGTAGGTGGAGGATATTTTACGATTCGTATGGTAAAAAAATACATCTATGGAGGCAAAAATTATACTCCTGCGCAGTAAAATTTCACCCACACCGGGAGTTTTTCTTGCACCCATCTGAAGGTTATGGGGACAAATGGAAGTGAAATCCCGAACGCGTTCGGTACAATAATTTTTTTTTCGTGAGAAGACCCGGTAAACCGCGATTCTAACCTCACTTCGCTCGGTTTGATCGCGGTTTACGGGCCTTCTGACGAAAAATTGCATTCATCACACGGTCCAAAACTATTTTCTGACGAATGTGATTATAGGCCTCGCCTTCGGCTCGGCCTACAAAGCCACATTCGTCAGAAAATACTTTGTGGACTTTGTGATGAAAATAACTATTTTGTACTGCTTCGCACGATTTCTCATCTGGGAATTGGTATTGCATACTTCCCAAACTCGAAAACTTGAAAATCACTACAACAAAATCTTGTCCCGGGCTGCTGCGATGGGTTTTTTTACTCGTCTGGTTGGCCAGTCCTCGCCTTCGGCTCGGTCACCAACGCCACACGAGTAAAAAAACCCCTCGCAGAAGCTCGAAAAATTCACTATTCGTCTCGCACTTTTTTCCCGATACACGGTGAAAAAGTACTGAAAATTGAGTTCGCTCCACGACTGCTTAACTTGTTCGGTAATGTTTCTTCAACTTTTTTCTCCGTGTATTGTGTCTTTTTCCATAACGAAATATCCTGCAGTTTCAGTGCAAATATCAATTGTGGAAGTTTTCCGAGATGTGTACCAACATTTAAAATATCGACAATCCAGTCCATTGACATGCATTTTGCACAATTCTCTTCTTGCATTCGTAGGAACTTGGAAACTTGTACAGAAACCTCAGGCTCGAAACAAGCCATATCAAGGAACTCATTTTCCTCAACGTTTCTATCCTCCTGGGAGTTTCCACGACAAGTAAAAATAGTATATTTCGATTTCGATTGACGAGTGAGGCGGAATTTCCACGGATGTGAAGTTGGCGGCCCGAGGCAAAGCCGAGGACTGCCAATCACAAGAGCTGAAAATTCCTGTCTCACATGTGTCGAACAATATTTTTTGACAGTGATATTACGTTCAGCGAGTGCCCAAACTGTGCCTTTTTCGCTTACAAGTAAACGAAAAGGCACTTTTGGCAAGAGGTGAACGTAGCAGCAGTGTCAAAATATTATATTTCGATATGAGTGAGATGGAATTTTCACGAGTATGAAGTTGGCGGCCCGAGGCGAAACCGAGGGCTGTCAATCACGTGAGCTAAAAATTCCCGTCTCACACGTATCGAACAATATATTCTAACAGTGATGTTACGTTCAGCGAGTCTCCGAACTGTGCCCTTTTCGTTTACAACTAAACAAAAAGACGCTTTTCGGCACAACGTGAACGTAGCAGCAGTATCAAAAAGTTCATTACTTCCCAAGATTTTTCGTTCCAGATAAAAGCGAAGAGGTTTCTTTTCTACGTGTAACGAAGAATAGATTACTTCACAATTTTCCACTGGTATATTGGTTTTTAGCTGGGGTTGTCTCTACAGTACCAGAAGATTAAAAATAAACATTATCTTTTACAGAGTGTGGTGTGAGGCCTTTAATACGCGCAGGTAGGATTGTCGGTGGGAAGGGCGCGACCTTTGGCGAATGGCCATGGCAGGTACTCGTCAGAGAATCCTCCTGGCTCGGGTTGATGACTAAGAACAAATGCGGTGGTGTACTCATTACGGATAAATACGTCATCACAGCTGCCCATTGTCAACCCGGGTATGTTGATGCATTAAGTATTCAAAGAGGAGAATGCACTTCTATTCATAGAAAAAATTGTGAATAATATAGTGAATAATATCTGGGAGTCTATTCTTGAGTCAGGATCGTACGTTTGAGCGCAAGCGAGTCTCATGTGACCCATAAGCGTACCACGGGTCGCATACGACTCGCTTGCGCTCGGACGTACGATCCTCACTCGAGAATAGACAGTGTGTGAATAATTACACACTGTTAAAAAAAATTGCAAATTCATGGACAGTTGAAACAGTACTAAAATTTCAAATTTTTCAACAACAGGATGACGAGAATTTCCCGACTCATAAATTTTCAGTCAGAATGTAAAGATTCAGTAGTGAAATATGCTGAATTTTCAATCAATTGAAAATTGAAGAATATGTTTACCTGAATTTTCGTGATTTCTATTAATTTTCATGACTTCGTTAATTTTTCGATAAGAATATGAATTTTTAATGATGCAATCCCTTGAAATTACAATTGAACTATAATGTAATGAAGAATTCCAAGAAGTCTCACGCGGAAGAAATTTTCAGTAGTAATACCACTAGTGCTTAAAAATTATCGGATATTTTCCGATAGCTTCGTTACCTAGGAACGATTGTGTCAAATTTTGCAAGTTTAAAATCCCGAGTGTGAAGCACGAGTGGTATTTGACGGATTATTTTTCCACTCGGATTTCGGCCAAGCAGAGTGCAGTGAACAGCATCCAGATACATTTACACAGCCATACATTTACAACCCACTGTTTTGTTTATCTGTCACACCGAATATTAAACGAAATTTTTTAGAAATTTCCGAAATAAAACTCCTTGACAGCCTCAAATACTGCGCTCTGATTGGCTGAAATCCGAGTGAGAAAAATAATCATAGAAAAACCCACCAAATTCACTAGAAAATTCTATTAAATTTCCGTTGAACTTCTATTGAATATTCTATTCAAGAATTCCACAGCTTTTCTGGGCGTTTTTAAAATAGAACATGTTCAAGAGGAACTATTTTATTCTAACAATCCATAGAATTTGATCTTTCTATACAACTCTTTCTATAGTAATTTCTTGACTTGAATTTTCTAAGTTTTCCTCATTCCATTTTGTCTTTTCTCTTATAATGAAAATCAACCCAAAAAAATTGAACCGCGAAATATCTGTAGAAAATATCTAATCCATAGAATAAGTTGTAAAGAAAAATCAGACTCTATTTTCTATTGAACAAAAGCCTCAGAAAAGCTACAGTATTTTTTAACAAAATAATACACTGTTAGAAATTTTTTGAAATTTCAAGTTTTAAATAGAATTAACGGAAATTCATGAGTTTTCAGTGGAAGTGAGATGGAAATTTCACAACTTGATTGAATTTTCAATTTTTCTCCGAATTTTCTTGATTTTTCTGAATTTTCACAGAATAATTTAACTGAAAAATCAAGTATTTTATTGATTTCCAGCTCATTTGAACAGAAAATCAATGCAACATATTTAATTTTTCAATGACAAGATTTCCTGAAATTTCAATGGAACTTGGACACGACAAAAATTTCCGAAATTTGGCACGGAAAATTCAGACAAAATTTTTTAACAGTATAGATGAAAAACTAATAGAATTTTCAATACGAGCTCAATCCGATAGAATCTTGCAACCGAACCAGCTAGGTGTTCCCATGAAATGTTCGCCAAAAATTTTGAACGATTCAGATAACTCAATTCAAGTTGTTGATTTTACAACTTTCGCAAGATGCTCAAACTTTCTTTTTGTTACTCCAACAGGTTCTTAGCTTCCTTGGTAGCCGTCTTCGGTGAATTCGATATTTCCGGTGAATTAGAGCCACGAAGAAGTGTTACGAGAAATGTACGCCGAGTGATCGTTAACCGTAAATATAACCCGGTGAACTTTGAAAACGACTTGGCGCTATTAGAACTGGAATCACCAGTTCAATTTGATGCACACATTGTGCCTATTTGTATGCCAGAGGATAATGCTGACTTTACAGGACAAATGGCCACTGTAACCGGCTGGGGACGCGTCAAATACAGTGAGTATGAACTTCACGTGATTAATCACAATTCATTAATCAAATATGTTAAACACATCTGCATTAATCTGAATGCTTTAGCATGAGCGAACATGTAGCCAATATTTTCACCGGAAATTTCACAGCACTCTCCGAAAATATTCTCTCCATTTTATCACACCATTCATTCCTCCATTTCCTGTTTTCTAAATGAAGATAAAACAAGGTTTTGTGCATAAATTTTCACCAAATCAATAGAGCCGATTTTACGGTTCATTTTGCCCTCAATTCCCGTACTTTCTCCGTAAAAATTTCAATCCCATATATTATGTCCTGTTGTTTTGCGAATACACGAAATACTCGTAAAATGATATTTATGAAACTCATTGGGAGACGGAAACATTAATTCAGCCAAGCTTAGAAAATTCCTCTATCGCATGTTGCACTCAACCTTAAAACTCAAACGTGAATTTCTTCAGACGGTGGTGTACCATCTCTCCTGCAAGAGGTACAAGTGCCCGTGATGGAGAATTCCGTTTGTCAGGAGTTATTCACCACAGCTGGACATAATAAAAAAATCATCGAGAGTTTCCTATGTGCGGGCTATGCCACGGGAGAGAAAGATTCCTGCGAGGTAAAGCATCTGTTCACAACCTCCCAATTTAATTCCACAGTACAATTAATTCGTAATCTTCATGAATTTCTGTCATTATAGGGTGACAGCGGTGGACCCCTGATGATGGAGAGACCCGACGGCAGGTGGCAACTCGTTGGCACTGTTTCACACGGAATTAAATGTGCAGCACCTTTTCTACCTGGTGTCTACATGAGAACGACGTACTTCAAACCCTGGCTCCACAGCATCACTGGAGTGTGAAGACACACGTTATGACGGAAAACCAATGATAAACGAGTTATTGGAGAATTGAAATGGAGGACTGAGAGCTTCGTGTCTTCCCTCATCTAGCTCTGTATAAATTGTACAAAGGAGACAATGATGTTTATCTAAATTATTTATGAACACAGAGAAAATTGAATGTTTCATTTTCAGGAACATGTCACCGATTTTTTGGGAATTATTGGTGATACTGGACACTTACTAGAATAATCCTGATCACAAGTGGTTTCAATCACTGGAATTGGGTGATAGAGTCTTAAAAATTAAGGATTAATCCCTGAAAATCAAAACTTTTCTTTTCTCGGTGAAGGAATATTCCTTAAATAACTGGACCAATATTCTACTGTAATGATCTTTTGCAGTCAAGTAGTAAAATGAGATGAGTCAATTATTAGATGAACAAAATAATTGTTGACCTCTAGATTAAATCGGCCATAGCATCTGTTTGAAACCCCTCAGTCTAATAGGAATCTTGCATGAAACTCAATTCTTTCTAATTCCCCGATTCACACATTCCTCGTAACATATGGATAGCTAAACAGCGAAAATTATGGAGAAATATTGGCTAGATGTCGTATGATAATTAATTGAGAATCAGTCATTTTTGAGGCCAATTTTTCGGTCATGACATCACGAAGACGGTCAGGTAACGCTTCATGGGACGAAAAAAAAGAGTGGGCAGTTGTCCTCCATTGGCCGAAGCGCACCTCAAGATTGGGTTAGGTGGGATCGAGCCATTCTGTGATTGGTCCAACGCTCGACCGTCCGGGTGACGTCATTAGCAATTTCAAAGCATTGGAAATCTTCAACTTTTAACAATTAATTGCTAATTAATGAGCAATATTTCAAACTTTTGGGAATGAAAAATGAATTATTCAGGTCCCAACTTGAGATTAGAAAAGTGAAAAAAATTCATGCAAGCTCCCTACTGTTGTCCGACTTTCCCGATCAACAACAAAAAATAGTGAATAACCATCCGAGGAAAATGCCGCGGCGCATCGTTTTTATTTAATTGCCATTGACTGGCAACCGGAACAATTGCAAAAATGATTGACTTTTGCAATTTAGAATTTAGAGTATTGCGGCCGGTCAATTTCTTGCCCAGAGTCACCTAAATTCAGAAAGATAACAAATCATTTCCGACAGAAGAATTATTTTTTCCCATGTTAACCCCTCAAGGACAGCGCCCTTTTGACACAAACCTCGCTAACCTCATTAACTTCCTAACAGTCCAAACATGATATATAGTAGGAATAATCAGAGTCAAGCGATTAGTCTTCACAACAGACTTCGTAGAAGTTGGTAAAGTCCTATATTTTCGGAAATATTGAACTTTGAAAAGAGACATACATTTACGAGTGGGCCCATATGTGGTATGGACGTCAGGTTTGAGAGGTATATCCCTAGGACACAGGTTTTTCTGACGATTATCCTCATGTTTTTCATAGATAATGTTTATATTATTCTCCAGCTATTGAAAAAAAATCCAAGCAGCTGTACTACACAGTTTAAGAGGTAATGAATAATGAAATGCGGGCTTCTAGCACGCGAGGCATGGGCCAAACGGGGGTTATATGGGTCCCCCCGAACTTAATCTTTCCATTTTATTAGAAAACGGTTGTTACGATATTCGTAAAAAATGACTTTCTGGCAGAATGATAAATTCCGAATATGGTGAATTTTTTTGTGAAATTTTATAGTAGATAGTTTCTGCGATATTCAATATTAAAAAATGGGAATTTCGTGAGATGGCTGTTCAATCTAACAATTGGGAGACAGCGATAGTAATTTCTTACTTCATTCACACAATTATTGTTGCCTTCATCAACAACATATGAGGTTGGAAAAACTTAATAACTTATGAGAATACAATAAATTAATTCGTTTAGAATTTTTTCCGGAAATCCGTAGGGATTAACTTTTGGGTGGTATTGTCTTGGGATATGCCTTAAGGGGTCTCCGCAGTAATTTTCGCCACAAAACAACAATGTGCTAACGAATTGAATATGTCATATAATAATCAAGAATGCGAAGAGGAAAATTGAAGAAAAATCTCTGAGTAATTTTATCGTTTCGTTCGTTTTTAATTAATCATTCAAATTTTCACTTATACACGGGCTTTATGAACGCTATTATGTCCCTTACCCCTCACCCTGTTGACAATGTTCTAGTGAACAGAGGAAGCTATATCTATATTAAACTCTCAAAAATACGGGCATAAAGTCTCATCGTGTTTTGCTGTTAACTTGTTGAATAAATTAACAACAAAAATAATTGGTGTGATGTCTGTCACTATCCAACGTACGCCATGTTTGATGTTTCGTCTCTCTTGAAAATAACCTCACCAACTTAATCACTTTACGCTCCACTCACCCGCGCGCCCATCGCCGTTTTGCCCTACTGAGGAGACCTCTTAAATGCCCATTACGCGATATTGCCAGAAACTCGCTAAACGCGGCCGGGCGGCGTAGAGTGAGTTCGGCAACGCTGGAGCCGAAATAATACGGCGGCGCATCCCCGCGGAGGTGACCGAAGTCGCAGGGTCGCGTATGGTGACCAGACTATAGGATTTAAAAAATACCGCCGAAACACAAGAAATATAACATAATGGTCTCAACAAATTCGAAGTGAACATTCTACTCTTAAGAATGAAAAACATCCCTAATAACCAGAAAATGTCGAGGAAATGGTACATTTCAGGACGAGTGCCATGGGGTTTTCTATTCGCGTGGAGTTGCGATCCGAACCAAAGGCGAGGACTGGCCAACAAGGCGAGTAAAAAATACCCATGGCACTAGTCGTGAACGATATTTTTCTATAGTGATTTTCACTTTTACGAGTTTGGGGTAATACCAATCCCCGGCCGAGGAAAAGTGAAGAGCATTACGGAAAACAAATTTAACAACTTGAAATGAATTTGAAAAAACCGCTGAAAATTAATTTGTACTCTTATAAACTCATCGTAAATCATAAAAAAATGATTGGACATGAAAGATATTTCGTTCTACCACTTGACTGCCAACTGCCTTTAATTCATTGTAAATAATATTTATACCTAAATAATTAATAATTTATGTCTAGTGATAAGTAACTATTACCTACGTTTCATTTATTCTCAATCTTCATTATCTTCTAATTCTATGTATTAAACTATTTTTATATGAAAAAATAAAACCTCAAGTCATTTGACCCTGTTGCATGTCCGAGCGATTTTAATGGTTAAAAAAGAACGCACGTGAATGTGAAATATGGGCTTGACCCTGAACTGAAGCTTTAAGAAAATCCATAGATTGCATGAATTTGCATGAGACCAGTGACTGCACTTCAGAGGTGAGACCTGCTCACCTCTGTGCGCGAGACTGGTTACGTTCTAGTACCACCTCGTATTCCACGAATCCTCCCTTTCACCTTTGTCCCCTTCGTTCACATAATAGACGGGAGGGTGGTAGCGGCAGGAAGCGCGATGCTCTCTCCAGAACCCCCGATCAATAAACGTGTAGAATGCGGTGGAAGGATACGTCGAGAAACAGTGGAAAACACGAACAATAACCATTAAACAAATGGAGCAAAAAGAAGAAAATGTTCTTCCCGCCCACGTGAAATTTTGTTGAATCGCTTTTACTCGCCTGTGACGTCGTTTACCTTTAACATTTCACTTCAGTTGGGAGTTTACAATTGATCCAGAGGAGCCGACATTCAATGGGGGTGAGAGGGGCATATTCATTAAGCATGAGTGAGGGATAAAGAGGAATTGAGGAAGATGATGATAATTTATTCGAAGCGAGGCAAGCCGCCGGCTATAAATTATTGTCGACTGATGAAAGCCTGGTAAAAGACCTAGCGGGATAAACTAACAAAGGATTATATCAAGCTTCTCTCTTTGGATCTCAACTCAACACTCTCAACAGCTTTATGGATAAGCTTCACTTGACTATATTTCCCTAAAAGATAAAAACGAAACGAATGTTTTTGTAAAAAATTTGCACCAAGGAGAAGTTTTCTTTCATTATTCCTGTAAACGAGGACTACTTTTGTTTAAAGTCATACGGTGTTTAAGAAATTTTGAAACAAGTGGGAAATTGCTTTCGTTACAACATAGTCAATACATTTTTGCTAATAAATTAGTAATTTTCTTTTGAATATAATTGATGTATAATATATGACTATGTATTTTGACGATGTATTTTGAATTGAATTCAACATTGCTCCAACGTTAGAAATTTTGATCTTTCTCAAACTATGGGTTTTAAAATAATTTTCTTTCAACAACAGTTGATGGAAATAAATCCCATGATCAAACTCAGTCATAATGGCATTGGGAAGAATATTGTAAATCACAATTGAATTCATTTAAACAATAAAAATAGCATATTCGAATTTCTGAGGCCAACATTAGTTTTTCTGACACACAAAATTGGAAATTTCGGATTTACCGAATACAATATGCTTCCATCCGGAAGCACAAATACACAAATAAAAAAAAAACCCAAGTGTGGGAACATGGAATCGATAGTCATAGTGGACGATCACATTGATGTAAGACGAAAGCATTGAAGAAGAGTTCTTTGTGGAATAAACAATCAGTAGAGGCAGGACCAACGTCTTTAGCGCATATCAGGACATGACGCATTAAATTAATATTACACAGTTGATTATTGTTCTCACTCGGATTTCAGCCAATCAGAGCGCAGTATTTGAGGCTGTCAAATAGTTTTATTTCGGAAATTTCTAAAAAATTTCCGACGAAAATTCACTAGTAGCTTTTCAATTATTTCTCATCTTTCAACGCATTTCACGTTTAATATTCTGTGTGAAAGATAAACAAAAAAGTGGGTTGTAAATGTATGGTTGTAAATGTATAAATGTATCCGCATGATGTTCACTGCACTCTACTTGACCGAAATCCGAGTGGAAAAATAATCCGGCAAATACCACTCGTGCTTCAAAATTAATCGGATATTTTCCTCAAGCTTTCCTGCCTAGGAACGATTGTGTCAAATTGTGCAGGTACCCTTCGTAAAATGAGGAAGATCCGCCACCCAGACAATCCTCTCCACAACCCTTCCAATACCCTACTTTACGAACGTACCAAAATAGAATCTATCGTTGACAGGCTCTAAAAACTGACAACGAATTTTGCCCTTAATAAACTGGACCATATTGTTGACCGCTGCCACAAGCGCAACCCCAATAGAAGATCCCGGTATAAATATCCCCCACACACCCTGTTTGAGGACCTACAGGCCGTCAGAAGAGAAGAGTATGGCTCAAACTCCTGGGGAGGTCTAGCACATCTCCAAGGTCAAGACCAGTAGCAAAAGTTCTCTATTTCCTTCGCCTCTTTATCACTGCATCTCTTACAATGTATACCATTTCCGCCTCACTCATAAACCCTGTATCAATCATTATCTACTGTTCAAAAAAAAAAAAAACACTCATATATCAACGTACTCAATTAATATTATATATGCAGTTTGAAAAAGAAATTATATGAAAAATGTATTCACTAGCTGAAGGCCCTCGGGCAATGGCCTGTTGCGAGCTTGTTCGCAACAAATTCCTTTAAAAATTAAATTAAAAAAATGTGCAGGTTTAAAATCACAAGTGCAAAGCACGAGGCAACAAACGAAGCTATCGGAAAATATCCGATAATTTTGAAGCACTAGTGGTATTACTACTGAAAATTTCTGCGCCATTTCTATTAACGTAGTCAGTTAGTCCTAATTGGTTAAGAATCGTTTCCTATTAACAGTGTACTTAACAACGCTCGGCCAGTTTTGTACAGTTGGAGTCAAAATTTTTCCTTAGCCTATACACTACCGCGTATCTCGATGGCCGTTGAAAAACAGTATGCTTTCTACGTGTTCCGTTTCCTCTGAAGCTTCGTTTTGCGAATGGAGACTGGCAGACGGTTCAAACGGACAGTCAGGTAAACCAGCCTTTAGAACAAAAGCTACGTGAACGACCCGGCTCTGAAATTTTTGTTGGCGAACGAGAGTGAACAAGAGTGTTGGTGGCGCCGGAACAACACTCTTCAAGTTCGGGCGTATTCGTTTCGTTTTGTTTAGGTGTACCCCTCTGTGTGCTAGTCTTAATGCGGATGGAGAAGGCATGGTGAAACAGGAAAGATAAAGGAAGAGGGAAAGAAACGGGGGAGCGCATGCGTCGGGCTTTTTTCCTCTTTTCTTCGCGACCGAATCGGCGATTGAGGCTGCGCCGTGAAGCTCAGTTACCTCCTGCAGGTGTTCTGGAGCTCGTCAAATCAAACGTACGTCCACCATCCACTGGGTTATCTGCATTGTACCTTTCGGGAGTGGAGAGAGATAAATTTGATTGCTTAAGCAACCGTGCACTTGTGAGTGTTCATTTTCATTCGAGGATTCTGGTGAAGACCAATCGATATTTATTCGATATATCGAAAGAAGGGAAGGTAATCGCTTGTTGTGGTGTTTTTATAGGGTATCGTAACTTAATTTGGAAAGGTCAAGGAGGAATTAAAATAAACGGATGATCATGGGGAAGAGCAACATTTTCTGTACGCTCCTCATCGTTGGGATTCTGGAGATGAATGGAGGGGTTGAGGCCTGGGGTAGACTCTTCAATCGCTTCACACCGGAAATGCTGTCGAATCTTGGGTATGGCGGACAGGGGGGGTACAGACCCAGTTCGCTTCAGGTAATTCATTCAATCGTTTGATCGCTATTGACGTAGGTTTCATGTTGTGCAACAGTATGTGATGTTCTGTCAATCGCATGCTTATATGACGTAATGCAATATTGATCCAGCGTCCTCTGGTCGGTAATTACGGCAACGATTTCGGCGAGGCACTGCAGTTTGCCGGCGATGATGATTCCTGCGATCACAGGCCCTGCGGACGCAATGAATACTGCTGTCCGGGACAAATATGCCTGGCGAATGATGCTGATGGCGGTGAGGATTATTCAATCACTTTGGGAGGGATTATTTCAGTTTTTTCGGAATTGATCGACTTTAGGATTATTTGGGCACTTTGCTACGTAGAGATTAATCTAAATTTTAGTTGGAATTGAATTTGAGATTCAATTGACCAGCCAAGGGGCTTGTCACTCCTCAATCGGGTGGCTCAAAGATTTTCAGAATGGAATGATTTCCTGTGATTTCTGGAATGATTTCTGGGATTTCTCAATACGAATTGAAAAGCATGATTTCTTTTGATTTTTCGTGATTTCAATGATTTCTAGTAGATTTTGATGATTTATTGATTTCAAGAAATCACTCAAAAAATCATGATTTCGGGACTAAAGTGGGGCATCTGTACAATTCGGGAAACCAAAGAGTTTAGGAGGACCTTATGAATGTGATAGTAAGAATCAAATGGCATGTGCATAAGAAGGTCATGAGAGTCAGGCGGGATCATATGAGTGAGTTCGAATAAAAAATTTGGGTTTCACTTGCATCGATGATTTCTAATTATACGAAGACAAATGTTCAGTAAAAATTACGGAACTCACAATTCTCTCACCGATTACGGAATCGACTCAGAAAATTGAAGTGACGGTATCGTAATTTTTCACAGGAGACTCAGAAAAAAATTATGGAACGCTCCGGAAAAATTCCGTGGCAGCTACGTAAAATTTCCTACAACCACATTTCCCTCCGGAATTACGGAAAAGATACGTAATTTTTATTGAATATTTTTCTCCGTGTATTTCTGAAATCACCTGATTTCTTTATGATTTCTACTGATTTCCGATGATTTCCAGAAGTCATTAGAAATCACTAGCGGAAATGGAAATCACTTGATTTTCAGTGATTTCTTCCTTGATTTCCAATCAAGTGGTCCAGTGATTTCCTAAGTGACCAGCCCCTCGGTGCCAGCCCTCAGTGTCGGAAAAAATGGAATTTCATTTCATAATAATTTATAATGACGAGACATTAAACTCAATTTATAGACGAGAACCAATGAAATTTCAACTTTTGAGCTGCGAAAAGACAAGAATTCCCCAACTTGAGTACCAATTTACGCTAAATTTTCAATTAATAAAAAATTCAAGAACACATTTATCTGAATTATTTTGATTTGCATTTTTGAAAATGTTAATATAAATCAAAAAAAGGTTTTAATTCAAACTTTTTTACTTTTTCTGATTTTTATTATTTTTATGGAATAATTGAACAGAAATTCATACTTTCCATTAATTTTTTCATCGAATTGTGAATTTTCGATGGCGAAACTTCTTGAAATTTGAATGGAACTGTTACTTGCTAAAAATTTCCAAGAAGTGTTTTAACAATGCTGCCACACACGGAAAAAATTACAGAAAAACCTATCGAATTCGCGTTGTTTTTCAATAAAAATGTCCGATAGAAAATATGTCGTAGAGAAAATCAATGGAATTGGCTTTTTCTATACAACTTATACTATTGAGATGTTTCCTATAAACATTTTTCGGCTCAAAATTTCAAAGTTGCTTGTGTGATTTTTTTAATGAAAAGGAAAAAAAAGTAGCGTGAGAAAACTTTTGACTGGGGGGGGTGCGTTGTCCGTCGCTAGCTGCGCTCGCTCCCGAAAGTTTCATTGTCACACCTTAAATCACATTAAAGCTTCCCGATTTGCCGATTCCACGTAGGAATATCTTCTTCCTTCTTATTAAAAAATAAGCAGAGGTTCGAGCCTACCCAGCAGAAGGCGTGTGACCGTTACTTTTTCTGTGAAGTGGGATAGGGTGTGCGGGTACCGCCCACCTAAGGGGAAATGCCAGTTTTATATTTTATATTTCAACTTGAATATAAAAAACGTATTTGTGAGACTTCTTTAACTATTTAACTCGTTATTCTCGAAGTGTAGACGCCTAATTCTCCTTAGAATCCACAAAATTGATTGAAAATAAAAGAGAGAGCTTATTGAGCGGTACTACCCGCCGTCGGGTAATACCGCTCGGCACGATTCCAATGCCGTTCATAGGGTTTTGCGTGTATCGCTTGCACCGCAACCTAACCTGTACTCGAATGCTGTCGAGCAACTACGTGGCCGATCCTATGAGCGGTATTACCGGCTCCGCTCGGCGTCAACAAAATTGTTGATAATTATTGACATGAGTGGAGTTTTGAGATCGAATTGGTCTCAAATTACGCGTGAAAGTACCACGAATCGAGTAACCACAGTTTAATATGAGAATTCAGCGTTTGAAACTATCAAAAACCTTAAGTACAAGTCCACAAATTTTGCACTGTAAAGACCTCAAAACTTCGTTACGTGTTTTTTCATGTTTAACGTGCCAAATAAAGTGAAATTTTTCCGACAATCACACCCTATCATCAAATTCTTCATGATCAGGAACAGAAAGAAATTTTCAAGTTGATGGTTGTTCAGAAAATCGGGTGAACGGTATTACCCGCTGAGCGGTACAGGCACACCCTCCCCTAGTCTTGTTCTTGTTCTTATTTCAACCAATTCCATTGATGGTAAGCTTCCGCATGGATCCATCATAATGTCCCTGTCCTTGTGATAGACATAGAATGATATTCAATCTTTGAATGAAATAGATTGGTACGTAAGATCGTATAAAAGAATCGCTCAATCGAATCAACTAATATCAAATCAGCAGTAAGTTACGCGAGAAATCGTGAATCATCTTTCTGGAGACATACATATTTACGCACAAACATACAGACATGTTCCTGAAAATGAGATTAGAGACCTTGAAATGCCAATATTTGATGAAAAATCGAGATTTGATTTTCGGGATTATTACAATAACATCCCTTATCGGGAACCTAAAAATTATTGTCGAGGAATCCCTATCGGGAACTGGTAGACGGGCGGAGCTAACGACCTTGAGATAGCACTTTACATATAAGTTTACCTAATAAATTTCACTTGATACAACTTGAATAAAATTTATCTTATTTTGAAGCTCAAAAAAACAGTCTGAGAATGATTTATAATTTTTTGAATTTCACTCTGTCAATCTCGAGTTATTGACTTTTGAAGTTATTGACTTTTGACTAATGACATAAATAAGTTTTTCCGTGCTAACCGTCATTTTTCCTCGTGCGTAGCACTGGCCCTGAAATATATTATTGCGTCATGTCTGGATGGAAAATTCGATTTTCCTCCCCCAATAACGGGAGGAAAGTGGCTTATTTCATTTCTCGGATATTTGTGGTTTTTGATGATTCTCGGAATGACATAAGCCACGTTTCTCTCTGAATTTATGAAGAAAAATCGAACTATATCGTGCAGTTGGTTCCATGACTATTAATCTCATGAACAATTATTCATCTCACCTAGACAACTCATCACACAGACAATTCATCACATAGACAACTCATCACACAGACAACTCAATAAGAACAATGACAAAAACAAATTAGTATCAATATTATAATTAGTATAAATTCAATCAATTTCACAGAATTCATTTTTATTAATAGAAATTATTACATGAAAATTCACATTTCATTAACTTCACTTTTCATTATAGTTCAATATTTTAAATTTGGTACATGCCAATTCAATTTTCATAAACTTCACCGGATTAGCTCTCACCTTCGGCATGCGGTGTTGTGGTCAAGTATTTGATTGAATAGATTTTATTTCAATACAAATATATATTGAGTTGTCTGTATGGAGATTTGTCTGTGCGATGAGTGGTCTATGTGATGAATTGTCAAGATGAATTGTTCATGAGATTAATAGTTCTGTTACCGTGCAGTTATGACGAACAATAGTATGTACACGCAGGAAGGAAAACAGGACATCAAAACCCGTGAGTTTACTACCTTTGGCTTCGCTTCAGTCAGTAATCCACACGCGGGTTGGAATGTCCTGTTTTCCTCTCTTGGTGCACAATCAACTATTTTCACACACCTGCACGCAAAGTTCGTACTTTGTTCCCTAATAAGCGGGAAAAAAGTGAATCAAAAACCAGAACACGCAAAATCCTGGTGCGTTCCTTTTTTTACATTAAACATTAAAGAAGGGAATTTATATAGCGTTTCACATCTTTGTGACGCCATCGGAAATGATTGGATGAGATTTGGATACTTTCCTCTCTAGGGTGGAAACTTGCTCCCTCGGGCGGAAAAGACAGATTACTTCCCTTCCTTGAGAACAAGTTTTCACCCTTGGCTGAAAGTATTCACTGACCTCCTGCTGATCAGAAAGCAAAATACAAATTTTCCTTTGCACACGACGAGAAATATTCAATAAAAGTTACGTATCTTTTCCGTAATTATGGAGTGAAATGTGGTTGTACGAAATTTTACGGAACTGGCACGGAATTTTTCCAGAGCGTTCCGTAATTTTTATCTGAATCTCCAGTGAAAAATTACGATACCGTCACTTAAATTTTCTGAGTCCATTCCGTAATCGGTAATTTTACTGAACATTTCTCTCCGTGCAGCCGTGTTAAAAAATAGCGTGTGCACTCAGGGCGGTGAAAACATGACTTTCCACACTTGGTGCACTATATACGTTTTTTAATAGAAGAAGTTGTATAAAATGATCACATTCTCCTGATTTATTCAATAAATTAGTTACTATCGGTGGGATTAAAATATGACGTCACCCGATTGGGGGAAGGGGGTCTGTAGTTCGTGACGCTTTGCGTGGAAAGGGCGGAGGGGATTGCTTAGGTAATAGTGATGTTACACCATATTTTTTTCCATTTTCAATCGATGACAGCACAAATGCAATATTATTTGCGTCCCCTTTCGCACGAAAAACCGAGGTTTCTCCAGTTCTTCAAACTATCCCAAAGATTTTTAAAGGGGAATTTCAAAATGCTCTGATGGCAACAATTTATTAAGTTACGGGACGTTTAATGAGCATCGCATACAGATTGAATTTTTCAATTTAATTCGATTTTATCAACAAATTGAAAAAATCGCGATAACGAGGGGAGAGACAGTCATATAAGTCCAAAAAACGTATGACGTAATATTTGAATGGCATCTATTGGATATATTCTTTGAAAGAACCCGCAGTAAAGCTGCAGAATTTTTCAATAGAATCGGTTAAAAATTCATAGAAGTTCACCAGAATTTCCGGTTTTAATCGAGGAGACGGGACACAATTTTTTTAATCGTTATTTTACATCAAGACTTTAAATGGTTAGATCGCACCATTCTACCCGGCCGGGATTTGAACTCGGAACCTTTCGCATGTGAAACAACCAATTTACCTACTGAGCCAAGCCGCCGGGACATACAAATTTATTGAAATTAACCTTTTAAAAGGTAGCCCTCTAAGTATACTGGAACTGAATTTTTTAGTGAATTAACTAGTTTCAAAGAAAAATTTCGCCTATGGAGAATTTAATTAAAATTTTTAATCAAATTCTTCACCCCAAACTCTGCAATCTATCTCACTAAAAACGGGAACTTATATAGCGTTTCACATCTTGTCACATCACAGAATATTATACGGAGAGAAAAGTTGGATAAAAATTACCAACGAAAATCGTGGCACATTTTACTGTACGAAAGGTAGTCGTGGAGTGAAATTTAATTCAGTGAAAAAATACCTGTTTGTGGAGGATACTGTACGATTCGTTCGGTAAAATAAAACATCTACGAATGCGAATATTATCTTCGTGTACAGTAAAATTTCCCACACCGGTAGGCTATTTATTTTCTTGTACCCATCTGAAGGTCATGGGGACGAATGGAAGTGAAGTTTAACCGAACGCGTTCGGTAATAGTATATTACGCAACAAGTGCGGGAAGGCTGCGCCGCCCTCGTGCGTAACCGCTTGCTGCCCGCACGAGTTGCGTGTACTATTTTATACCATAAGTGCGTGCGCGGCTAAAAGGGGTCGGGGGGGCAGAAGGGGGTCCAGGGACGAAGTCCCTGGTGGGGTCGAGGGGCGAGGCCCCCGCGGGGTGCAGGGGCGGAGCCCCTGCTGGGGGGGGCGAAGCCTGAAAGACACTGAAAAACAAAAAAATCAAAATCAAGATCAAAAATTTAAAAAAAGTTCAGACTTGGAAATTGTTTAAAATCAAATTTCTCAATTTAATTGGGTGAAATTTCATCGACAGTCTTGTATTTATCAACCGATTTTTCGGGGATCAAATTATTCCTCACTTCTTGTCCTGATTTCGAAATTTCTGGTGGAAGATTTTCATCATTCCAGTTGTTATTTTCATCATTTTCATCATCCAGACACAGCTTTTTATTTGGCAGAGAACCGACGTTTGCTTCGGTGAGGAATGTCGAATCTCCATCAAATAAATCTCCCGAGAGATCAATCTCCTCGTCACTGTCGGGTATGATGTGGTTGCCCATTTAATTTCACTGCTTTTATATTGAATAAATGAATAAATTTAATGACAGAATATTGAGAGGGTGATGTGGATACCAACAAGTGAGGCAGTGGGCGATGTTATGAGTCGATGCGCGAGTCGATGCGCAATGGATGTGTGGAATCCAACGATGATATTGCAACGACCATTTGCGCATCGATCTGCGCATCGACCCGTGCATTTGCGCATGCCCATGGGTTATGCACGGGATTATACAGATGTGTAGGGTTCCACACATCTACAGTGTGAAACCCGGCACTTTCTGTGCGTCGACACGCAACTGAAACCGGCCGGATTTCATGCACGTATGGTATAAAAAATCATTCTTCGTTGTGAAAAAAAATGTACGCGTTATTGAGAAATCATTTACGTTCACTGAGATAATTTTTGATGGAATGCAAGGTAAATTTTATAGTTTCGGTACAAATTACCCCAACGTTCAGTAAATTTTCCCGGGCCAACGGAGAAAAAGGGGAGATTCCGATCTCCGTGGCGCCTCATCTTGACAATTGATTCTCGTAATATTTTAGGTGAAGAATACGGGAAAAATACGGATAAAATTTTATTTCTAATTATTCTGGAGATACCACACTCATAAATTCCGAAATTACATTACCATTTTCTTCCAATACATCATCACTTTTATCGCTCCAGCACGAAAACCGGAATCAGGCCGAAGAAAAAGTCATGGAAAAAAAGACTGGAAAAAACAATTTTCAGTCAAAAACGCATTCAACTAAGGCAGTATCCCCTTGTGACCCTTGTGATCCTTGTGACTTTCGTGAACCTAGCGACTCCTGTTTTGTAACCCGCCCTTGTAATCCTTTCGATTAACCCTCCCCTTTAGCTCTTCTTCTGTACGAAAATGGATGAAGGTAGAATTTTTTCAATATTTTTCCCGTATTCCTCACCCAAAATACTATACATGAATCAAGTGTCAACCGACGGCGTCACGGAAACCGGAATCCTGCCGAGAAAAATTCACCATTCATCAGAGTACTGAAAATTGAGTTTGCTTCACAATTACACTCTTAAAAATTTCGTCTGAAATTTCCAATACACTTTTTGGAAATTTTTATCGAATTTAACTGCCACTGAAATTTCAGGGAATTTCCTCATGGAAAATTGACAATTTCGTAGAAAAATCAAAGAAAACTGTAAATTGCAGTTCCATTTTTCCCTGAATAGGAAACCAGATTATTTCGATAAATATACTCTTGAATTTTCAGTACAGTGACACTGAATGCGATTTAGGGGGGAAAAAATCATGGAATTACAGATTTCACTGAAAATTCAATACAATTTGGCACTGAATATTCATATTGGATTGGAAATTCTAATAAATTGAGGAATTCTCGTCTTTATGCTGCTTAAAATTCTGGAATTTTACTGAATTTTCAGTGAAACCTGAAATTTCATTACCTTTTCCCCCTAAATCGCATTCAGTGTCACTGTCCTGAAAATTAGTACATGGAGAGAAAAATTCAATAAAAATTACCAGAAAAAAACGTAAACATTACATTTCGAAACGTAAACTGCGAGCGAAGTAAAATTCAATAAAAAGTGTGAGTCGAAACTGAAATTGTACGAATCGCCACGTAAATTCTACGATTTGTTCCGTAAAAATTAACCACCCGTTTGATGACTCGCCGCTGTGGGGACAATAAGTCGTTCCGCAATTTTTCCCCAACGATTAAGAAATTTTGCGGAACGGAACATAGAAATAACTCACTAGCTTCATAAAAATTGTTGACCGTTCAAGAATTTTTGATTTTGGAGCATAATAAGTCGGGAAGTTTCTGCAGGATTTTACTTCTTCAGCAAAAATTACGTGACAATTTCGTACTTTCCTCGGTGATAAACCCGAAAATTCAATGAACGCTTCAGATTTCTTTTCTCCCATTCCTATAAAAATTGCCGGAAAACGATTTCTCATTGCGGATTACGTGAATTGTTCCATAATGTTTACTGAATATTTCTCTCCGTGTAATCAATGTCGAAATTTCATTTTTTTCCAACAGCGTACTTGACTTATTCAATAATTTTTCTCTAAATTCTTTCTCCATGTATTGGATAGGATTTTAGGATAAGTAGGAGGAGAACCAAGATCGTTCTCGACATTAGTTTACAAGAAAAATCTACTGAAAAAACAGATAGTCTTGGAGACTTATGCACACCAAATCTTCAATCATTCCTTTTGTCCGAGTTCTGCGAAAGAAAGAATGATTTTATTATTTTAAAAAGCCCCTTTCTTTTCTTTTAAATAGGCCCTGAAGGCACTTGCTTCTACTTCCGAGGTTTGAAACAGGGTGAGCTCTGTGTGAGAGATAATGATTGTGAGTCGGGGCTCATGTGTGGTGACGTCCCCGGTGGCGACACAAGGTCCTGTCAGCCTCCGGTGACATCCAACAAGCAGTACAGTGAGTTTCCCCATTAAGAATGACCTTTATCTTTGACACGAAAATTCTTCGAAAACGGTGGAAATTTTTAATCCGGGAACAATTACAATCCCCAGGTGAGGAGTGCCTCATGTCGAGGGAATGCGACATCAGCAGGGGTCTCTGTTGTCAGATTCAGCGTCGCCATCGTCAGACTACGAGGAAAATCTGCTCTTACTTCAAGGATCCACTGGTCTGCATCGGACCGGTTGCAACTGATCAAATAAAATCTATTGTTCAGTACACATCCGGTGAGAAGCGAATCACCCAGGGACAGCACAATCGTAATCTCCTCTATAAGCGTGGATTGTTCATCTAAATTCACGATTAACCCCGATCAATTCCACAATACTTAACATATCAGAGATGAAAGTAACGCCGCGAAATTGATTTAATTTCCTCAGCAACTCAGATAAATTAATTTCTCCCAATGTCTTGGTTCACTGACCAAATGAATTGTCCTTAATCGTAACGTAACGTACGTACCAATGAATTTAGAGAAAACAAGAAATACTGCAATGATGACATATAAACCTATGGAATTATGTAAAAGCGGAACGATGAAACGAGTGCAACCGGACAGGTAGTGAACTGGGTCAACAAATTAATGAGACAGATTATTAATAAGAAATGTGGAGTGTGCGGCAGTGTGACTTCCAATTTACTCGATTACTACGACTGAATAATACAAGACATATCAGAGTAGAAGCGATAGAAGGAAAATTTATTCCCTAGAATTATATCCTTTGGCTGTAGCACAAAATTAAAGTGTATTCTTTATGCATATGTAAGGGAATCCAATCCATTTGAGAACACTGTGCTTATTTTTTCCTCTCCCACCGATTCCACTTGAATTTAAGGGGAGACTACTGTGAGTTTTAAAAGTCGTGGGATATTGGAGTGAGATTTCTCATGCATTGACAATCCATTATATATGTCTAAAAATGAATAATTGGTGCAAAGAAAAAAATTGTTCATTGTTTGTTTTCTCCGCAGACGCTTAAAATGTTAAAAATAGTCCAGGGCCTCTGATTTTTGACCTACAGAGGTTTTTTTTTCGAAATTAAAAAAAAAATTGCACAATAACAATTAGGAATTAGTTTTTTTTTAAATTCGACTCTAATTGACACAGCTAATTTCGTTTTCTTTAATGTAAAAATTTGCGCCATTCATATAAAATAGCTAAAAAAATTAACCTTAAAATATTAAAACTCTATTCTCAATTATTCAGAAATATTTTTCGGGCTATTTTACATGAATGGTGCAATTTTTTATTAAAATAATAACGAAATTATCTGTGTAAGGGCTGAATGAAAAAAAAAAAATCGTAATTGTTATCGCACATTTTTCCAAAAATTTTGAAAAAAAAACTATCTCAAAAATTGGAGGCCCAGGACTATTTTTTAACATTTTAAGCGTTTGCGGGCTAAATGAACAATAAACTATTAGTTTCTTTGACTAATTATTCGTTTTTACACATACATAATCGATCGTCAATGTATGAGATATCTCATTCCAATAGCCCACGACTTTTAAAACCCAAAGTAGTCTCCCCTTAAGAAACATGGATTTAGAGTAATTTTTTATTCATTTCTGTAGAGAGAGATATGATTTTTCAATGCATCAATGCATCGTGATTAATAAACGTACAAGAAGAAAAAATATAAAAAAAAACATCATGTGATCGCCGAAATGCATCGAGAGGAGAGTTTTAAAACTGTGAATGTTAATGCAAGTATATTCTATGGTTAAAATTATATTTTTATCTTCTACCCGATACTTAAGCTATAACGTAAACTATACACATGATATATATTTGCATAGTATTCATATACTTTTTGCCCTCGAGATGAGAGTGAGGCATTACAAAATAATATACGTGCTACTTGTAAAATGTGAAACAAAGAATACATATCGATTGATTAAAAGTATGGGGAGATGTGAGCGAGCGTTGGATGATCGAAATTGATAATTCTATCGAGATATCTTCGTGTCCGCGCCCCTTGGCCTATATAAGGATGGAATTGTATTTGTCTCAGTCACCCCTTCCATTCCATGTGGCAACGTGTGATTATGGGGAACGGGGTGATTCAGACGGACACGATATCCGGGGAAAACATATCATAGATCGTAAGAGTCTACTTATAAGAAAGATATTAAAAAATGAAAAAAAAAACAATATTTTGAAACAATTTTTGATTATTTTATCGAGAATCAAATTATCACGTGGAAGTTCAATTAGTTGTTTTCTATTTTTTGAATCATTCCTAGTGGTAATTGAATGTCAATTGGTAGTTGATTTTCCATGTCTTCTTAATTGTACTATGATGATTAAGGTAATGTCAAAATTTATAGCCATTAGGCTGCGAGTCGAAAGTACCTTCGTCATGTCATTAATTCTTTGAATAATAAAATATTATGTGTATGAACAAAAATAAATATATATGTGTAATCGTTTCTTCCGATTTATTGTTCAGAGGTATAGTTGAGAATAAATAATTGTGCAAATACTGGATGAGGATGGATTAATTCACTTCCCTCATGCCGCATGCCGCAGTTTACCCTTTTTCAGTTATTCACTATGAACATCTTTTCACTAATTATTCGTAGAAAATTCATCAGCACTATGCGAATTAATTGCATCATGGCTTTTCGTCCCCAGAACCTTCAAAACTTTAAAACTTAAATGAATCATCAATATTCACGTGACTTCAGGCCATATTAACCTCTTAACAACTTTTTATTACATTTCACTTTAGAAAACGCCCGACAAAATTCAATGGAGAAACTTTCTATGAAGCCATTGAAATATTATGTACGTTACGTCGCAAAATCCACGACCCCCCTCCCTCTCTCATTTTTTTTATTCATCCTCCCTCTCTTTTATAGTAATTTTGTAAGTGCTTCATAAAATTTCGTTAAATAAGTGGGAAATTGCTCTTGTATATAGTATAGTTATTTTTGCTAATATATTATCAATATGCTTCTGAATGGTTATTTTGCACATCATTTCCTTCTATCAGGTATAATTCATTATTTACCTCATTTTATTAGAATAGAATAGAATATGCGCGGCTGGTCACTTAAAGCGCCCAGAGTCACCTAAATCATACATCTTTTGTAATATCCGCGTTAGTTTCGGTCAGTCACACAGCCCCAGCCCTGTGTTTCTCACTAGGCTAATAAGACTGGTGACAGCCGCTTGTTGTAAGTCCTCTGGTTCCAGGAAAGCCTAGCCTCAGATTTTATAGCGACGGAGTGCTAATAGGGGGCATTCACATAAAATGTGGATGACGCCCACCTTATCGGCTCCGCACAGTCTGCAGTCTTCTTGTTCTGCAAGTTTCATCTTGAACAGATGAGCTTTGAGAGCTGTATGACCCGTGAGGAGCCCTACTGCTACCCTCAGATCCCCTCTGTGCAGCTCCAGAAGCTTTCTGGTTCTAACTCTTAGTTGCCCCCTCATAAGCAGTTTCGCTTGTCTGCAGGTCGCAACTTTCTCCCAACGCCTGACATGATCTCGCTGGAAATGTTCTTTAATAAGAGTTTTTCCCACTGCGAAGGGCATGCCAAGCAGGCCGTGTGAGGGCACCCTTTCTGTACCCTCCTTGGCCAGCTTATCTGCCTCTTCATTACCCAGAATCCCATGGTGGCCTGGTACCCAGGTTACGGTGACCTGGTTGTTTTCACCCAGTGTGTCCGATGCCTGCATGCATTGCCACACCACCTGTGACTCTGTAGTGGGTTTTTCCAGGGCGTGAATCGCCGCCTGGCTGTCACTGCAGATGAATATTTTCGTCTTTTTTGTGTCTCGCGTTCAGATACTCTGCACACATAAGTATGCCCAGCATTTCTGCTTGAAAGACGGTTGAATGGTGGCCCAGTGGAAAACTCTCTCCGAAGCCATCTTTCAGACGGTAGATGCCTGCCCCAAAACTTTCATTGAAGCCAGAGCCGTCCGTAAACCAGTAGTCCTCTCTTGGTCCTGGTTTACGTTCCGAGTCTAGCCACTCCTGTCTGGGTGGTATACTCGTTCTGAAAGTTTTCCTGATCTGATACTTCCTAGGAATCCTATCCGTCTTACCTATGAAGGGTCGATCATTGATTAGGCTAAGCCTTGTATGGCCTTGGCCCGTCATCTTCCATTCTAGTTGGCACCTTAGTCTATATGCAGTTGTGGTAGCACAACTCACAACCCTAAGGTCGAGGGGTGCGATACTGAGTGCTATTTCTAGCGCCTCAGTAGGTGTCGATTTCATGGCTCCTGTTGCAGCCCTCAGGAAGGTTCCCTGTAGGCTTTTCAACAGGTTCCTTGTTTCCGTCTTACTCACCCTCGGCCACCAGATGACCGCAGCGTATAACAGTCTCGGAAGTAGAATTATTTGGTAGAGCCAGAGCATCATTTTAGGATTGAGTCCCCATGTCCTGCCCACAGCTCTCCTGCACGCCCACATAGAGGCAAACACTTTATTTCTCTGAGTACAGATATGTTCTTTCCAGCTGAGTTTATTATCCAGGAGGACACCCAGATATTTCACTCTGCTGGTGTAGTTAATCTCCGAGCCATTTAGCTTCAGAGGTTGGATCTTTTCCAGTTTATAATTTCTGGTGAAAACCAGGATTGTTGTTTTGGCTGGATTTACCGATAGGCCAGTTACCCTGCACCAGTCCTCAATGATATTGAAGGCTGTTGCCATCAGGTCCCTTAGCACCCTCAGAAATCCGCCTTTCACAACAACTGCCACATCATCGGCGAAACCGATGACGTGGAAGCCGGCCTCACTTAGTTGATTTAGAAGTCCATCTACAACCAGGTTCCATAGCAGGGGCGAGAGAACTCCCCCCTGCGGACAGCCCCTAGTCGGACGTCCCTCCACACATACCCTCCCATGTCCTGCCGACAGTCTTCTGCTTTTCAGCATGTTTTGTGTCCAAGCAATTATAGTCTTGGACACCTGTCGTTCTTCCACGGCTTTTTCTATAGCAGGATTCGAAGTGCTATCAAAAGCCCCCTCAATATCCAGAAAGGCACCTATGGCAAAACCCTTGACCACCAGTAGTCCCTCAATCAGTCCAACCAGGTGATGTAAGGCAGTATCTCTTGATCTTCCCTCCCTGTATGCATATTGACAGGGGGAGAGGGGTCTATCAGCCAAGGGCCCGGCCTTGATGTGTCTATCCACCAGCCTCTCCAGGGTCTTCAGGATGAAGGATGTGAGGCTTAGAATGGAAGTCTTTTGGTTTTATACAACCGGTTTTTCCAGGCTTGGGAATGAATACTATCCTAGTCTCATTCCACACACTAGGGACATGTTTCAGAGCTATACTAGCTCTGAGTATCTTGGTTAGGGGTCCCGTGATAGTCTCTATCCCTTCCTGTAATAGGGCTGGGTAGATCCCGTCTGGTCCCGGTGCCTTGAAGGGTTCAAAGGTTTTGATGGCCCACTTGACCCCCCAGGGCTGCACTACTTTATTTGCCAATGCCCAATCATGGGTTTCGTAGACATCCCTCTGATTTTGCATTGTTTCTTTGTTCCTCTTCTGGGCCTCTACGAAGCCTGGAAAGTGAGTGTTCATTAGGAGTTTCAGAGTCTCTACCATGGTTTCCGTGTGGCTGCCATCTGGTGCCTGTAGGCTCCCTAGATATGGAGTCTTGTTTGTTCCAAGNTTGCCAGCCTAGAGATCTCCGATTGAATCTCCATGTTGCTTGTGAAAGCCCTCCAGCAGTCCTCTTTGGCTGCCTTTATTGCCTTGTTGTAATCTGCGAGCAAGCCTCTGTAAGTTTTCCATG